ATTACATCAAGAAAGTCTGGCTTTCCCTTGCGTTCGTGAGCCGTGGCTTTGTGCTCGAATATCATCTTCGAGATGAGGCCGTCCCACCTCTTGTGCAGCTTCTTCATCCCCCCTTCGATCCCCTGCAAGTCCATCCAAGCAATCGATGGAATGAAGTCGCCGATGTTGAATAGCCCGGCCTTTGTCATCAGCTCCACGACCATGTCCTTGAACTCGTTAGATTCCGACCCCTTGGTCGCAAACACACGTCGGCTAAGTATGACCTGCCCTATCATGTTGGCCATGGCATACGTTAGCATCTCCGGAACGACAACTGGTTCGCCTCGGCGGCATGCGTCGTTCATGGCCCGGAGCATGTGGCCTAGTTCAATGGTCCTTACTTGAGCCCAGTCATCAAGGGCCTTGCCACCGAGCATGTGTAGATTGCTCAGTTTACGTAGCAATTTCCACCTCGGTCCGTAGTCGGCGAAGACCATGTCCTGAGCGTTGTAGGCAAGGTGAGTGGCTCCTGCATTGGGGGGGCGGTTGGAGAAGTTGAGATCGAGGGTCTTGAGGAATGCACGGGCAGCGTCCGGCGTTGAAGCCACAGCCATTCCGCAAGTACCCATCTTGAGGTACATGACGGGGCCATATTGCTTGGCCATTCGGGCTAGTGCGACATGGGGCATGCCGCCTAGCAGTGGGAGCGCCCCAATGATCGGCCACCCTTTGGGGCCGGGCGGAAGCTTTCGTGGCTTGGAGATGACTCGGCGTATGAAAAGGCGTGTAACGAAGAAGAGGATTGCCGCTGCGACAAGCTCTTGAGCAAGGACTATGTCGAAAGCCATGCTTATTGCGGCTTTACCGTAACTCGGCTGGTCTGGTCTGGTGTGTGTCGCTCGGACTAGGTTTATAAGGTTGGGGAAGGGTGGAAGTTGGGCACGTGGGGGGTTTCCTTCTCTCATCTACTTGTCTAGGGAAGAGTCCAATTTCCTGTACTTGCAGAAGGGAGATAGATAAAAGCTCCCTTTAGGATTTAGGTTGGACATGGATGTGGAAGATTTATGGATAAAAAATTAAATGGGGGCAGCAAAATGGGAAAGTCAAAAGTGGGTGGTTACACTTATTGGACTCGTCGTAGAGTAGAGATTTGAGAAAGCGTGGGGCATGCATGTCATCCAATGGTTAGCAATTAATATATCTGAATCTGATCAGAGCGAGTTCATCTATCTATGGATAAAGAGAGTTGATATAGAAACTTGTTTAGTACAATCTGTGTGGTCCTTGTACTTGGGATTCTTGATCCTTTATGCTATGTTTGGTTTGAAGGAAAAAGCAAGGAAAGGAAATACATAGATTGTAAAGGTTTCCTATCTTTCCCTTTCTTTCCCATCTTTTCCTTCAAACCAAACATAACCTATGAAGCATTTATTCACATCACCTATGCAATATGACTCGCTGCTTTCTTTTTCCCTCTTACTGCATGGACAGTCGGTTTTCACTTGGCAGCTTCTAGCTTGGTAAGATGGGCCCAGCTGGAATATATTTGTTGAAAATCCCAATCCCGAATACACTTTTAACTGAATTAATAAATTGGCCTCAAGGTGAAGCTAGTTTAGGGGTTCCTTTGGTTTATAGTAAGAATCAGAATCAAAATCTTTGAAATGAGATTTAGAATGGTCTATTCTCATAATTTGTTAGTTCAGACAGGAATGAAATAGAAATTGAAATCTGTAGAGATGGGATTCCATTCCTAAGGGAAGGAACGGGTAGAGAATGGCCATTATCTTAAATTTCCACTAGGAATAAAAATGAAATTTCAATTCTGATTTCAAACCACTATTCCTGCAAACCAAACAAGGCCTCAGTACGTAGTTTTTTCAAATAAGGTGTCAATATGGATTAGGTTTGGGTTGATCCCTTTCCCAATCAAAACCAATTTTGAACAGACTGGATGGTCCAATAACATATATTGAATCAGACCAATCCACCATTCTCTAATAACCAATGAACTCTGATCCATCGTCAGCACTCAGCACCCCCCGCCTTCTTGTGCCACCAACCACTTGTCGGGTTTCTCTTTGAAACAGGTATTTATTGCTCCGAACTTACTTCCACTTGCGATTCTACACCACTACCACTAGTATTCCCCTCTTCCATTATCTTACAAATGTTTTGTTTTTTTTAGCACGGTAGAATGCTTGAAATTTCTAGATTGAAGACTGAATAGTTGATTACTCATTCATCGATAAAATTTTGAAAGAAAAATCGGTGATATAATTCCTAGCAAATGTTGGAAAAAATTATAATATAATTTTGGTTAAAGATATCCTATTAACATGTTTGAAGAAAGTACAATAAACATTCGGTGAAAAATTTTCGACGAAAAATGTTGGAAAAAAGTTAGAACTAAAATTTGGTGAAATAAACCTATCAAATGTTGGAAAAAAGGATAATATAATTTCGGTGATAAGAATATTAAGCTATAAAATTTGGGGATAAATAATTAAATATACTATGAAAAGTTGGGAAAAAAATATAAGATAATTTCGATGATGGGTATCATATGAAAGGTAGAAAAATTAGAATATTAAGGTAAAAATATAACAATAAAATCATATTAAATGTTGGAATTATTTAATATAAGATTAAGGGATAATTATAAAAACAAAATTAGAATATAAGTTTGGTGATAATCAAATCAGTATAAAAAATCATACATTATATCCTATGAAATTTTAGAAAATAAAATATAATCATTCTTAACAAAGAAAAAACACCACACCTTACATACCAAAAATAGTGGAAAAAATAAATCACACATTATGTCCTATGATATGTTTGGATGAAATAATTTAAATTCAGTGTAATAAATCCGAATTTATTAGCTTGGATTTGCTTGAATGGTAGAATTTAAATTCATCGAAATAAGTCCAAATTTATCTACTCAATTGGGTAGATGAATTTACTAAACATGATATTCAGCTAGCCCGACACAGAATGACTATACAACCCATCATCAACACATATGACATCATGTAATACAAAGGCGTGCCTAATTACACATGTCGGACATTGTATTGCTTGCATGTTGTTGATGCAGCATATTTTGCTTAGTTCTTCTTATCTATTTTATTGTAGTGGTTCTATTATTTTTGTGTAAATATTAGTTGTAATTTTGAGTTTTTTTGGTGGTTTTATTAATACATTAGTATGTATGACCAATGGAACCAATATTTCGATGCTATTCTTATCTAAACCAATATTTCACTTGCTCATTTTTTTCATAAATATTTCTTTTAAAATTTTAGTTTATTTTTAATTATTTTCTAATTTTAAATAATTTAATAATTTTATGAATATAAATATCTTAAACGATTATCAATATAAATTTATGTTTAAATTACTTTTATTATTGTTTTTTGTTAAACTAATTTTTATTGGTTAACATGAAATTATTGATACTTTTTCTAATTTATTTTGGATTTAAAGTATAAGAATTATTCATTTATGGTCGACTATGTAGATTATCTCACAAGTTGTATGTGAGATGAATGGAATCAAAACATGTGATATAAATTGATCCACACCACACTTACAGAATGCCCCTATGGGTGTAAGCTAGTACTCTCGACAAGTTTGTTTATAGTTTATAATAGTTGTGGGCTGTGATATAGTGTGGATTGATACCTGCCATATTGGTGTGATATGAATCAATTAATACCCACCAATTTCTCATCTACGTAATAGATTACCTTTCCAAATTAAGTGTTCATTTGGGAGGGCTTTCATCCAACAACTTCTGGCATTGCAAGGTGGGCACTACTAGGAAGTGGTGAAGCTATGTTTAGCAAAACAAAACTAGGAAAACCCAAAAACGCTTACATTGAATTGAGAAATTGAATTCTATTGAAGCTAGTTTTGGTAGCTTCTTTGCAGTCGTGAAGTCAACACAACTTGATGAATGCTGAAGTCCTCCTAAACAGTCAAATCATTTATATCATCAAACCACACACACATTCATATAGGATGAGGTGTTATGGTTTGGCCTGTCCAACCCAAACAATTGAACCATTCATATCTATAATAGATAAAACTGGTTCAGCCTCTGGGGTCAGCTTTTAAAGTACAAACTCATCAAATTGTTCGCCATCTCATGACAAAAAAGTTAAAATCAAGAAAAAGGGTGTGTGTGTGTGAATTGTGATAACAATGTATTCTTGTCACGTACGTAGAATAAACACAATACATGGACCGTTCGTCATTTGCTTATACGCTGGCTACCGGTCCATACCTATTGAATATAATAATTGGCGCCGGTCCGGCGGTTTGACAGATTTTTGTCACTATCAAAAGATGTTGAAGGTTAGAATTTGCTTTTTCTTTCTGGTAGAAAGGTGGAAGGTTAGGAAGAAGGTCACAACTAGTGGGGTTTGGTGTGGGTAGAGCTCTGTATGTAGCAAATCGGAGTGAGTTCATTCTGGTACGGCTAACTGAACTCACCGTCTTCTATATAATGATTGGACTGAGGTGACTTGGGCATTTCCCTCATGGATTGGAACCACACAGTGTAATTGGGGTTGTACTCATAGTCTTGGTCCATTGTCCTAATTTTCCAGAATTAATTAGCTACATGCAAAATGTCTCCCCTTTTTTTATTAATCAACTTGGTTAATTGATGAGGCTAAATTAAGTTAATTCACATTAATTTGATTTAACTTAAATCAATTTGAGTTAATCTACAATCATCTAAGTTAAATAAATGAATTAATGAGTTAAGTTAATTGGGTAATAATTAAATTTACAGCAATTGTGTTTCTTAATTTAATTTGGTAATTAGGACTAAGCTTAAAATTAGATAATAATTTAATTAAGTAATTAAATAGTTATAGAGTAATATTTTAATTATGTTATTACTTAAATGTACGTATAGTAATGTAATTAGGTAATAAAGATACTCTCTCTCTCTCTACCTATCTATCTATAATCTATCTATGTAACATAGATGAAAAAATAAAAATATTTAAAAAACAGAGAAAATTAAGAAGGGGTTAGGAGGCAAGGGGAGGCCATGTGATGGAGCATATATTGCTTAATTTATTATACAGTTTATACTAACACATGAACCCATGCAATTGGTGGGGTTAAATAGGAGTTTGATAAGAGATCTACTTTAGTTCAAAATTACTTTATGCACATGTCAATTAATAAAGAAATGTCAAAGAAATAAAAGATTAAACAAAAGGTTATGGAATATCAGTATATATAAAGAAGCAAATAAATGATATATATAAATATTATTTTTATTAAATAAAAACCAAATAAAAAGAAAAAGAACCATCTTTCATGGATAGATTAACTATAGCTTTTTATAATTGTAGTGGTACCCAATTTATTATAAAGCCAAAATAAAAGATAACAAGTAAAAGACGAGTGAGAAAACTTCCAAACTTGAACAACCCGCACCCAAGCTTAATTAATCAAATCCACATATTCTAGCCTATCACAATTTGTGTTGGGCTTAGCTTTGGTGGGTTTGGATTGGCAAATTTTGATTTTAACCTTGGTATTGATACAGCCCTGAGGTCCAATGGAATTTTTACAGAGTATTAATAAGAAATCAAAGAGATTTATTTAAGAGAGAGATGGATTTAATGAGGGAGTGGAGAGTTAGAAGCATATAAACAATTGGGGAGGATTATGACGGATCTTATTATATAGAATTAAGGCATGAGAGGTTTTACTTTTAATTTTAAAATAAATAAACCACATGCGAGGAGTATGACATCTCGCAATGAATAAGAAACATATTCGTAATGGGCATTTGTCATGTCTCGTGGTGTGGGAACTTCTCGTGGGTGGTAGATCCTAGCTTGGTTTGACCATTGAGGTAAGAGGAC